CAGCTGCTGGGTCCCCGAGCACTGATTTCAGTGCAGCCCCAGCCTGCGCCGTGCTCCTTTCCACGAGCCGCTAGCCCTGCCCTCGGGGAGGACGTGCACTCCTGACGCCTGGGTCAGGCTGGTCATCCTGCTCCAAAATCAATGAAAAATCATTTTTTCCATCGGGAACCAAATGCCTCCATACCACTCCCTGGTGCTCTCACCCTCTGCATTCCTCTGACCATCAAGATCCCCCTCCCCAGGTGCAGGAGCCAGCAAAACCCTCTGCATTGCTTGCAGGGAACAGCTGATGCACAAACCTGGCCAAAATCAAACATTCCCACTGAATGATGAGAATATTGCGGAGGCCAGGGAGGGCCAAGCTGCCAGACTGGCCCGGCCCCAAGCCCTGGCCTGAACTGTTGTGAACTTCTGGGAAATCCAAACCTGGAGCTTGAGATGGAGCTTGTGATTTAGCCAAAGAATCATCTCACTTCAGAGCATCTAACTGCACCCCGTGCGGCGAGGGCAGTGCATGGGAAGAGCTCACAGAGCCGCGGGAAAGGTGCAGCTTTGCTACCGGCCAGGCAAGCCCCGGGTGAGGGTTGCAGGGCAGCACTGACCCCCTTGGAGCCTGGCTCGGGGTCAGTCCCCTTGGAGCCTGGCTCGGGGTCAGTCCCCTTGGAGCATCCATCTTTCGGAGCCAGCATCTCCAGGGTGAAGCATTTCCCGCACCATCAGGCGGGTGTTGAGTAGCACTGCTGAGCCCGGGTTGTCCCTGTCCCTGGGTAAGGGTTAGCTGGAGAGATTGCCCACCGAGTATATTAGATTGCAAAGCTTTTATTTCATAACTTAATCACACAGGCCTGGAGTTCTGCCTTGCCTTGCTCTCTGATGCTGCCCCTCCACGAGCAGGAGCCCTGTCCTTCTCACCGATGCTTTCTGTCTGCCACAGGACACAGCTGACTATGTGAAGCCGGTGACGTTCTCCATTGACTACGAGCTGGAGCACCCCGAGAACGGCCCCATGCTGGACGACGGCTGGCCCACCTCACTCAAGGTCTCGGTAGGTAGCAGCACCGACCTCCCAGGGTGCCTTTTATCAAAGAGCAGATTTATCTCTGAGTGTAACATTTGCTGCTTTATTTTGGGGCTGTAATCCCCGGTCCCTCCCGTGGTAGCAATGTGTGGGATCACCACTTGTGTCCCTTCTCCTTGGAGTATAGCCTGTGGTGTGAAGCGTCACCGAGCTGCTCTTGTTGCCCCCCTCAGGTCCCTTTCTGGAACGGGTGCAACGAGGATGAGCACTGTGTCCCTGATTTGGTCCTGGATGCCAGAAGCGACGTGCCCAGTGCCATGTGAGTAGGTCACTCGGCGCATCCTCCCAACCAGTATCACAAACCGGGGGGGCTCCAAAGCCCAGCCCCGACCCATGGGCCATAGATGGTGGCATTGCAGCTGGTCCTTCATCCAGCAGCACCACCACGAGGTTCATCCAGCACCACCACGAGGTGCTCCTCGGCACCTCCGCTGGCAACAAGTCTCTGAGCCTCTGCCTGCTCCCTGCCTGGAACCAATAGGTGGTTTTTCAGGGAATCCACAAAGCAACTAATATTTGATGCCATGGTGATGAGCCCTAGGGAGACAAATCAGTAAATAACAGGGGGGAATAAATGCAAGGCTGGCATTACCCACTTGGCAATTATAGGCTTGACTCACACAGAAGAAATAATTATATGCTATATCTGATCACTCAGAGAGCTTTTAAAGGTTACCTAGGAGCACAGCAGCCTGAGCCTCCGTCTCCCATCGATGGCAGTGGGCTCTGGACCAAGCTCATGGCCAGTGCCACTACCTGGGGATTACTTGTATTCCATAATTTGGCATTTATTGCTCAGTATCTCCTGTAAAGCTCTTGGTCCTGAGGCTGCGACCTGGGGCATGGCTGGTTCTCACTGGACTGTGCTGCTGGAGGTTGAAGTGAGCTGTAGGTAGGGGATTCTTTATGGACCTTAGTGGCCAGAGTCCTACAAATAACCATGGGCAGACACCACGGTCTACCAAGTTGCCAGACCTCCAGTCCAGTTCCTCCTGAAGCCTGTGGAGCTTTCCCAATGGCATCAGTGGGCACCAGATCGTGCCCTGCAAGATGTGGAGGTGATTTCTGCTGAGAAAACCACTTTGGAGCTGATTTGTCGGAACAGAGCGATTCCTTCAAACCTGCACCATGGCTGCCCTGCTGTTAGAGGCAGGAGGTGGCTCTAAAGGTGGCACTGTCCTACGTTTTCCTTTCCTTTTTTATTTTGCGTAAAGAAAATGAATGCCCAAACACCCATCACGTCTGTAAAAGCAGATTCTGCCATTGCAGAGTTTGTGCGGGTAAATTTACCGGGAGGTAGATCTCAGCCAGGCTGAAACTAAATGCCAGCTTTACCTGTTGCTGATGGTGTGGGATCTGGTTTTTTCCATACATCCCAGCTGTATTAAGAGCGCCTAACTGGGTCTGAGGCAGCTAGGCACCATCAGCCGAAAATCACAAGCAAAGCAATGGCCTGTGGGAGGAATTTGTGATTCCTCCTTCCGTAGCAGCGCAGCACGATGGAGGCAGAGCCGGGCTTTCCCTGCGCTGTCCTGTGCACCATGCACATACAAACCCTGGGGCCAGGTCTTGCCGGCAGCTCTTGCCTTCACCGCTGCCCTCGCCTTGCAGGGAGTACTGCCGGCGGGCGCTGCGGAGGGCGCCCCCGGACTGCTCAGCCTTCACCCTCTCCTTCGACTCCTCCGTCTTCGTCATCGAGAGCAGCAGGAGGAGGGAGGCGGTGGAGGCGGCGCTGGAGAACCGAGGCGAAAACGCCTACAGCACCGTCCTCAACATCTCCTTCTCCAGAAACCTCCAGTTCGCCAGCTTGATCCCCAAGGTGAGGCTGCTGGGGGAGATCCAGGGCTTTCCAGAGGCGCTTCTAATCCCGGCCGGATGGGAAAGCTGTATCCTAAACCAGAGCCCAAAAATGTCTCCATCCCTCATAAATCAGACATGTTTATGGGCTTAGTTTCTAAGCACTTACAGCCCTTTCAGCTCTTTATTTTGGAAATACAAAAACGTTTGAATTTTAAGAGCCTGAAAGAAGGTCAAATGCAGATGAAATGATTTCCCTCTTTCTTTTTCTACTCCAATAGTTTAAAAATACTTGCTGCGCGTGGCCAAGTTCCCGTCAGGGATGAGTTTTTGCAGCTGAGATATAACTCCTGGAAGTAGGGGCTGACAGCAGGAGCGTGGCCGCAGCTCAGCATCGCTGGCTCTGCTTTAGGCTGTCCCTCAGATGAGACCCTCATGCCCCATCCACTCTCACCCTCCCCAATATTTCACCCCTACCACTCACTCCATCTCGATGAGACTCCTCCCTTTTCCCAGCGAGGTTTGGGAAATTTGCTGATGCTGCTGAGCCCTCGCTCATCCCCCCCCTCCAATGACTTCATACCCGCCCGCAGATCCCATGTCCTGCATTTGTTTTCCTACGAGCTATGCCAAGGGAAAATTGTGGGGCATGTTGCCCACAAAATCAGAAAAAAATGCATTTTCTGAGCGATTACTCCCAATGAAGTCGGGGGGGGGGGGGGGGCGTCAGCGCTCGCC